AAAAATGTGAAATACGTGAAGTGGTGAAGATAGTGAAAAACATGAAACGACCCCCCTCCTTTCCCCGGCTTGCCACTTCAATGTGTGATGAAAAACGTGAAATACGTGAAGTGGTGAAGATAGTGAATACCCTGAAACGACCCCCCCCAATTTGTGATGAAATATGTGAAATATGTGAAGTGGTGAAGATAGTGAACAGCCTGAAACGACCCCCCCACCCCTCTACCGGCTTGCCACTCAAACCTCTGATGAAAAACGTGAAATACGTGAAGTGGTGAAGACAGTGAACACCCTGAAACGCCCTCCCCCCTTCCCCAGCTGGCCACTTCAACGTGTGATGAAAAAAGTGAGATAAGTGAAGTGGTGAAGATAGTGAATACCCTGAAACGACCCTCCCCAACCTGTGATGAAAGATGTGAAATATGTGAAGTGGTGAAGATAGTGAACACCCTGAAACGACCCACCCCCCTACCGGCTTGCCATTCCAACCTATTATGAAAAACGTGAAATACGTGAAGTGGTGAAGACAGTGAAAACCCTGAAACGACCCCCCCCCTTCTCTGGCTTGCCACTTCAACGTGTGATGAAAAACGTGAAATACGTGAGGTGGTGAAGATAGTGAATACCCTGAAACGACCGCCCCCAACATGTGATGAAAGATGTGAAGTATGTGAAGTGGTGAAGATAGTGAACACCCTGAAACAACTCCCCCACCCCCACCGGCTTGCCACTCAAACCTCTGATGAAAAACGTGAAATACGTAAAGTGGTGAAGACATTGAACACCCTGAACGACCCCCCCCCCCCTCTCCCACTGCTCTTTCTTATGGTAAAGGATAGTAGGTGTTCACCTTGAAACTTTTCAAAATTGTGATGAAAAGATGTCCTTGAAGTGAGTAAGAGTTTCATTGCTAATAGAGAACTGATAGTAAACTGAAGGTATGATGAAAAAAAAAAGTGTTGTTAACCTACTCTCGCTCCGCTTCTCCTCTTCTTACCATCCCAGACTGATGGTCAGACCGAGGTCACGAACATGACTCTCGGAGATATTCTCTGAAAGATTGTTTGTGACGACCAACAGTGGGATCTCCATCTTGCCCAAGCGGAGATAGCCTACAATCCTGCCAGCCACGGAGATATCGCCTTACTATTGCGACCTCGACTATCACCCTCGTGTTCTCACAGACTTCCTTCGACCGTCACAGATGCACCCCGACACGAGATGTCCCGCGCTAGATGATTGGGTTGCACACATGACGTCGATCATGAAGACCGCGTATGAGCACATAGCCATTTCCCAAACTCGCATGGCAGCACGTGCGAACCGATCGAGGATGGATCATCCATTCAAAGTCGCTAATTATGTGTTTATCGACGACCGCCACTTACAGCTCAAAGCAGACACGCTTCGCAAGTTTTGGCGTTGCTTCTTTGGCCCATGCCGCATTCTCCAGGCCGTCGGTTCTGATACGACTTCTAGCCCGGTCAACTTCCGTGTGAAGCTGCTCGACTACCTATGCCAGACTCGTCCGCACGATGTCTACCACGTCTCGTTACTGCGTCCCTACCACAAACCGTCTGAGCGTTTCGTTGGACGACCATGCGAGCGCCCTCCACCCATCATGGTGGGCGGCTACAAGGAGTTCCTCGTTTCAGACATCACTGGTCGCCGAGTCACGGACGACTACTCTTCTCATATCGAGTATCTCGTACGTTGGAAGGGTTACCCTAATGAGGAGGCTACTTGGGAGCCCCTCGAGCACTTGTAGCACTCTCGCATGTTGGTGCGTGCCTATGACTGTGCTCATTGTGTTGGGTTGACTGCTCCTCCTTAGCCTATTGACCCTCCTCCTTCTCCCTTGGTTGAGGAGACCGCTGAAGTCAAACCTGCTCCATCTGAGACAGATCTTTAGCAGCAGCCGGATGCTTCTGAGCGTCCACAGCGCACTCGTCGTCGTCTTGCTCGATATGACGATTGACTCTGACTTATATTTCCACGTCCTCGACTTCTCAGTACCCCATCCACTCTAGTTTTGTCACTTCAGTTCGTCGACGCCGCGGTCCTTTCTCGATGACATTCTGGACTTCTCATCATAAACGTCATCGACAGCTTCATGGACTTTGTCATGATCAGCTCTGCCTACTTTAGACGTCGTCGCTCTCTTACCACCTTACCCTGTACAGTACCCTGGTTGTGTCGGATGATGGTCTCCCTTCGCCGGGTTCCTTTGAGTTGGGGTCTCCCTTGGTATACGCATAGGCATCGGGACCGTAGCGTTGCCTTTGCTTCCCAACTTATGGATCCAACTCCGACTTCCTTCACCTTAGGAGTCATTTGCATGATTCCCTTACCCATCACTTTTTCTACCCTCTGCCGGCCCTCACGCCCTAGTTAGGCAGCCTCGCATGCTTCATCTAGGTGCGCCCAGTATATCAGGCTCCATTGTTCCCTTGCATAGTCGACCCTCCATAACGATCACCCATTTAGTCGAGCATTACCCGCTCTGATGGTCTATCTGTTAGAGTCATTGGTTCTGTTCGCTCCCATTTCACTACCCTCATTGAGCTTGATGACATGTGTCTCTCTGTCATTTTGTGTGGATGCCCTTAGGAGTCGACCCCTAGGCTGGATTCGCCACCCTCAGAGACCATCCCACCTTTTGGTTTGCGACACACTCCTCCTGTGACATATGGTTGTCTTGTTGTTGCTTTGTTGCTCTCAAAACGAGGCTACTGCCTTTGACATTTATAAGATTTAGTTGTTCTGCTTTTGCTGTTCTTAGGACTTATACACTAGTCAGCTGTTTCCAGACTGAGGTTACTGCCTCCAACATTCTAGGATCTAGCTGTCATTACTTTCTGCTTTCCTATGACATGTATCATAGAGAGAAGGTTAACAACAGTCGTATTTTTCATCACCACTTCAAGACACCCTTCACCACTTCAAGATGCAACCTGCCTAAACATTTGGTTTTCAGGGTCTTCGAACCTTTCACCACTTCAAGACACCCTTCACCACTTCAGGATGCAGCATGCCTAAACAGGTGGTTTTCAGGATCTTCGGACCTTTCACCACTTTAGGCCCTTTCGAGGTTTTCAGATTGCCAAAAACTTTCACTTCACCACTTCAGGATGTAGTCTGCCTAAACAAGTGGTTTTCAGGGTTTTCGGATCTTTCACCACTTCACGACAATTCGGGATTTTCAGACTGCCAAAAACTCTCACTTCAGAATTTTCATTCCCAAAATTTCAGCTACATGTTAACCGCTTGTGCTATCCTAGTTAGTTGCTTCTGCTTTCACCTAGGCTGTTAACTGTGACATTGCTGTTTTTGTGAAATTTTCTATCATAGGTTGCATCACATGGACTCATAATGGAGCTTGCTCCGCATCCTAGACTACTCAGGTTTTCTTTTTTTTTGGTAGAGTTCCGCTTCTTGGCGATCCATCACAGGCCGAGGATCGTGTAGCGGACCTCTGGTTGGCCTGTGAGACCAGCCCCTTGGTCTGTTCTCACAGACCTGTGTTGTGTTCAGGGTAGTCCAGTCCAGGCCGGTACCTCTGCCAGTACCATCCATTCCAGTCCAGTCCAGTCAGTCCGCTGGGGTATACCCCAGTTGTTGTCTGTTTTTGAGATGATTCTATATTTACACATCTTCGAGTACGTGCGTTGGAGTCTAGCGTGAGAGCTGCGCTGTGCCATCTCACTCCCCCTTCATCCTCCATCTCCATCTCTATCCCAGGCGGAACACCACACCTGGTGGGTCCGCAACACTACGAAAGGAGCAAAAGCCTGGCGAGTGAAGAAGGGAAGGCTCAGTATTAAGAAGTTATGAATTTGATTAACAACTTGAAAGCCGCAATATCCATAAGCAGGAAAGGCTGGAGCTACGTTGCACACGCAGTGAGAGGGATTATCTGCGAAGTAATTTGGGCGGACAAAAACAGAACGAGATCGGAGAAGAAGTCCTTGTCGAACTCTAAGATCAAACGAAGGATTAAAATGGGATTGAGACAAGCAATCCATGTGGACTGGTGAAGAAAGGTGAGAGCGGGTAAAGTGAGTCTCAAGCAGTGGTGGTGGTGCAAGAATAACTGAGCAAAAGGGAACTGTTTGGCAGCTGTTGATAGAGCCACATGCTTAGTTTTGTGGCCCTGGGTCAAGGACCATAGGAATAACATAGGTCTTTGAGAGGGTGTATGGGGAAAGCAGCCAATACCAGGGCACTCGGTTAGACTGGAGCTCCCTTGTTAGTAAGAGTGCCAAAGTTATTCAAGTTATTCAACCAGGACACTCGGTCTGTAGGGCCGCTGTAGGCAGTTAGAAGAGTGTCTGTAGGGCCCAGACCAGCTGTCCTCTCGGCCGAGTTAGTCCCAGAAGTAGTATAGGCTAGAATAGCACTGATAGGCCTAATGCCAGAGTCTGTAAGAATCGCCATCACTTTGATCAATCACGAAGAATACCCAAGTTCTGCCTTTCTACTTCAGGTTAGTCCAGATTTGGATAGAATGCTAGGAACTGGATAGCAGTTGGTTCCGCAGGCAAAGGCCTGTAAGCTAAGCTGGCTGATGCTGCCAGATACTACGGGTAGAATTGTGAGGTCCCCGACCTCGGGTTACAATTTAAAAAAAAAAAAAAAAAAAAAGAACTCGCAAATTGGAAGTAGAAGAAGACTCCCATGCCATTGCCATGAATGTAGACGGGTGTGTTCCTCGTAGAGAGAACTTTCCCTGGGACGGTGTGTGTGTGCTCATCCCGCCCTCATTTTACTATACTACCCCTCGATCCCGTCCTTGCTGTGCGCCCTCTTGGGTTGCATAGGGCTGGGGAGCGACCCCGCCGTTCTGCTCACCCTCTTGACCCGCCAGAGAGCAAACCCGCTCTTGCTCCGCCGGAGGGCAAAATATTCGTTCCTGCAGGTTTGCTTGGTTGGTGGTGGTGTCACGCACTCGTCCCGCGTTCCGCGTCAGCGCTCCGCATCGTAAGTTGCGCTCGTGCAGACGCTTCGGATGCCGGAAGTGACATCTACATGGACCCCCTTGGGCGCGGAAGGAAACTAAAATGAACACAGCGCGCGCACACGGTCGTATCGCGAACCGGCGGGGGCGGTGACCAACAGCTAACACGTGGTCTTCTCACAAGTCACGCGCGGGAACACTGGAACAGAAAGGGAACGCCTCTATGCGTGCCTGCGTTTGCGTGTGTAAGATAGCGAGCCACATACGCAGACGCACACGCACACGCACACACACACACACACACACAGAGAGAGAGAGAGAGAGAGAGAGAGAGAGAGAGAGAGAGAGAGAGAGAGAGAGAGAGCTGTCCGCGCCTGTTTCCTGAGGTCGCCCACGGGATAACACGGAGAGACGGCGGAATAGGTAGAGTTATCGGAGAGCGGTGGGCGGGGGAAATAGGAAGAGATCGAGTCCGCCGAGAGTGGTCGTTGGGGTACTGAGTGTGCTGTGCACCGAAAGTATGATGACTAGGAATATGAGTAAGCAACAGTAGATAGTAGGAGGAATAGGGCAAGGAGCGGGGAGGCGGGAGGAGGGAAATTGGACGTGTGGAGATTACCTACCTACCTACCTACCTGGTGCCTCGGAGTGCGAGTCGTGAAGGAGGAAGCGAGGACGAGCAAGATCCTGCGGTCTGTGTGACTCTGGCTACCGGAACGACTATCTGTTTGATACAGCGGCACGTGGTTTTGGTCGAAGGCAGGTGGGGCGAGAAGGTGGTGGTCCTGCACCAAAGCCCATGTGGGTGAATGGTGCACACATGTAACTGTTAGCTTTTAGCAAACAACTCATGAGTTCGAACCCTGGTGCAATCAGATAGATTTCCAGGCGTTGCTGCTGCCAGCCATAAGTTGCCTATGCATTTCTGGAGAGGCTCTACACTAAGGCCAGGATGTGGAATGCATTGTTCGGCAGAAGGGAGCGTTTCTCCCTGGAGGAGTTCAGGTACTTAAGTGATGTTCGATGTCCTTCATTCTTTTCCTTCCCTCCTTCTCTCTACCTTCATTTTTCTCTCTGTCACCCTCTTCTCTCTATCACCTCCTTTTTTCTCTCTTTGTTCATCTCACTCCCTTTCCTCTTCTTCTGCCTCTACGGTCGTTTCCCTCCCCCCATTCTCTATTGCTCAACTTCCTGTCCCTCTTGGGCTCCAATTAATGGTGGAGACTTCTCTGCTCCACTCTCAGGGCATATATCCACACCAGGACGTTTTTAACTCTGGACGTGATTGCTGTCAGATGCATCCATGTATGGTCGTAATCACAGTCAGATACATTTAGGCAAGTGCTCGTGTGAGTATCAGTGTCTTTCTCCTTCTCTTTCGTCTTCCTTTCGCTCTTTTTCTGCGTCTGACCTTTCTGCTTCTCTCTCTCTCTCTCTCTCTCTCCCACTCTCCCTCCTGCTTCTTCCTCCTTTCTCTTCGTTCCTCTCTCTTCCTCTCCGTCTTTAGACCTTGGTGTTCCCACTTCACAATATCAACCAGTGATGACTTTTCCCTCTTCTTCTCTGATCTGGTCCTGTCTCTTTTCATGAATTTCTCGCCTTCTGCTCGTTAGACAATCGTTCCCAACATTCTATACTCGGTGATCCGTCCTCCTACTCCGTTTGCTTTCTCTCTCACGTTCAATCCTCTTCCTCTCCCGCTTCTACCATCCTCCCTAACTCTCTACCAGCCTGCCTACCCTCTTTCACCTTCCCTCCTCGCCACCCTGCCTCCATACTTGCTGCCTTGCTCCCCGCCCAGGTATTCCCCTGATTCTCTGTGTGCACCTCCCCCCCCTCTTTCCGCGCCTGTTTCTTCGTCTCTGCATCGTCAGCGCTATTTTTACCCTTCTCGGTCGCTCACGAGAGCGGTTGCTGTCTGCTTCATTGTCCGGGCTCGTCCTCTCTCTCTCTCTCTTTCTCTCTCTCTTTCTCTCTCTCTTTCTCTCTCTCTTTCTCTTTCTCTCTTCCTGTTTGTCTCTCTCTCTCTCTCTCTCTCTGTTTCTCTTACTCTCCTGTCTTCCTAATACGTCCATCGCTAGTCATCTCAGTCCTCTACAGTCTGGTTCGTTCTATTTCGTCTCGGCTAACACCTCTCTCTTGAACCGCTGATTGAACCTACTCCATTTGTTGTTTTTCTATATGCCTCTCCCTCTCCCTCTCCCTTTCTTTCTCTTCCTCTCCCTCTCCTAATCTCTCTTCGTTTTCTGGATGGCGTATTCTTCCCTGCCCATTGCCTTGTCTCCTTTTCTCCCTTGGACGTAGGAGTGCCGACACCCTTAACCGTAGGAGCACCAACACGTATTGCGGGATCCATACGCTTGAAACGTGTTCGCACGCCCTGTCATGTTGGAAGAATGCTCATAATGTCATATTGCCGACGTCGGATCTCTGGTCAATGCGCCCTATGATGTTTGAAGCTCGGGTGCCGAAGATAGAGATGCCACGTGGATGTCTTGCCACGTGGTTGTGAGTGCCACGTGTCAAGACACGTGGTTGGCTTGCCACGTGGTTGTATCGGCGCTGCTTTCCAGTCTTCCCTCTCCTCGCTACGGGCTTCAGCTACCCTCTGCCCCGAACGAAACGCCTCATCGTCATGAATGTACACTGTTTCGGTCCAGATACAATCTTGGTGATGGGGCGTTATGTTCGGGGGAAGAAGGGTAGTGCTCCCGTTTCATAGCGGGCGAAGGAATTGGTGCGCTCGGTAACTACTACGGTAATACGGATTTTTATTTATTTTTTAATTCTTACATTTTTCCCTGTAATTTTTCAATTAGATTTTAGAGGGAAAGAAAGTAGGGCGGAGGGCAAAAGGAAGCCCAATTGAACCCCCCCGACAACAACCTTCCCCCTGCCCGCGCCCTGTCTCTTATACACATCTAGATGTGTATAA